AGCGAAGCCGCGGGTTTGTCCGATCGTGGGACCCACCCACCATACCTCATCGCTTTCGACGAAGTGGAGAAAGTCTCGGCTGTCTGTGTCACTAACGTAGACAGGTCTGCCGCCACTGGTCTGGCCTGTTCTGGTGTAGGTCGTCATGAGGGAGGGTTGGTAGTCGGCATTGCCGTGCAGACGGACCCTCGTACAGTTTGTAGCGCTCCCTACCGATTGTGGAACTACCACGCCAGCTGGGACGTCATCTGAAACGAATAAGGATAGAAATGCAGACTCTATGTAGCCGTGATTGTAAGCGTAAACGGAATGTTGCACAAAGGTTCTATATATGACTGGTTTATTCTTGCAAAGACATACATAATACAGCAAATTGAAAGCTTTTGGTCGGACCCTTTTTTTATTAAGCAGCTTTTACAATTACTAGTGTATACACAAATAAAAATGCATTGCTCAGTATATACATAACATCGCTTATGCACCAACTAATACAGATTTTATGTTAAAATTTACAACAATTACATTGATATAACTTAGTAATGATAATGATAGGATAATGTTACAGAGTTTCAAGAAAAGATAAAACGTATTGCTTATAGGGTATTCAGAATATTTAACATATTATATATTCATATATTCTAGGCAACCCCGATTTAAAATGAAAAGAAGTTGATATCTCACGGTTAGATCGTCCTTTCATGTTTCTCTATTTTATAAAAGAAGCTAAATTTTACATATTAGCACATAAATGTTGGGGATCAAGCGTTGTCGGATCCATTTGCATGTGGTCATCAAATATGGTTGGTGCTACGAACCAGAGCAGGCGATCTTCACATCCGGGTTCTCTATCCACTCATTGCGAATATACAGACGGAACGTCCCGTTGATCTGGTCAGCGTAGAGGGCGGAGTCCCCGACACGCACGCCACTGCGGTCGAACTGCGGTCCCACGCGCCACTCCAGGGTAGGCTTGTAGTAATACAGGTAGTTGCAGTTGACGCTGCTGTAGTACACGGGCCGGTCACCGAGGGTGTCTCCCGTCATGGTGTAGGACGTCATCCTACCGGCCTGCTCAGTGTCGGAGCCGCCATATAGGACAACCGTGGGGCATCCTGACACAGACGGATAGTAGGAAAATAAGTGATGTGACAGGTTAATGAATTACCAAAGAATTGGCCTGATCTGCATACATTACATACGTATACATTTTTTGGCCATGTGTCCAAGGTATCCCCATACCGAATTTCAGCTCATTCGGATTTAATACTAACTACAGGGCTCCAGATCCCAAAATGTAATTTTTTGCCTGAAAATGGCCAGAAAACCCAAATAAAACAATCATTTCAAAGGCCTGTTTCTATAAAATGAAAAAAACTGTATTCTACATTCATGCCAAATTTTAGCTCATACTGCACAACACAGAAACGAATATATTACAAATGCAAAAGCACCGAACTATCTTTGTTTGAAAAGCAGTAGAGGAGGATGAAGTACTGCAAGTTCAGTTTTGTCCGGACGCGTTAGTATTTCTAAAGAGATTTTTGCAGTGTTTTAAGTTCGCGGTTGAAATTAAGCATGGTAGTACATTTACAGTGGCATCAGAGCGTTTATTCTTGGTTACACTGTGCCTCTTATTGTTGGCATTGCAAGCTCACGGACAAAATAGTACGCAACTGTAAATAGCGGCCAGTATGCCTCTATAGATGCACGTCTTCTCCTATTGTCTTGTCTAATTACCTTCGCTATGAATGATATGTTTTCAATGGCGTTCGTGTGTGTGTAATTGTGTATTTGTGAGTGCGTGCGTGCGTGTGTGTGTGTGTGTGTGTGTGTGTGTGTGTGCGTGTTTGTAAGCAGCCAATAAGACATGTTGCCAACTTCAAATATCTTGGGTCCATGATGGCCTCTAGCAGCTATGATATGGCCAAGAGGAAATCACTTGCATGGACTGATTTATGAAAACTGGAGAAGATCTGGAGAAGTCCATCAATCTCCACATCCACTAAACTCAAGCTTTTCAACACCACCTGCTTGACAATACTGTTATATGGCTGTGAATCCTGGGTCATATCAGGGGACATGGAAAATAAGCTAAACGCGTTCACCACATCATGGTATAGGGTCGTGCTTAACATCAAAGACCATGTTAGCAACGCCTGGATCTACAAGTTGACCAACACTCGACCCCTTATCACCATGGTAAGGCAGCGTCAACTTCGATTCCTGGGACATGTACTTAGAATGCCTTTGTGGGACCATGCTGGACATATGCCCTGTATGTACCGACGCACGGCAAAAGTGAACGAATAGATAAGGTTGTCGTGAGCATTTGGCCTGGGTTTAATTTCAGCCGGTAGAAATGACAAATCCCCGCTCATTTTCCGAATTCATTGACCGAACTCATTGTTTACTATATGTACGTTATACGCTAGCTACGCTCGCATGAAAAAATACGTAATATACTGACTTCATTCGTACAAAACCTGTATAGGGACGTGAAAATAACAGGTAGACATCCTTGTGGTTAAACATTTAGTGAAATTTTGGCGGTTCCGGAAATTTCACGATCGCAAGTCGACATTGACCTTAGATATCGTCGTACGTGAATCGTCAAGTGGGGGAGGGGGGCACTCGTGCGTAACTTCTGTTCTTTCGAAGATTATCGATATCCTCTACTTTCTCCGGTAATATTTAAGTTCAACTGGATAAACTTCCACAGAAACGTAAAAATGTTGAACTGAGATTCTAGCGGGACGAACTTTACCGCAAAAGTGAGGGCTGTGGGTAGTAGAGATTTAACGTGGATAAGTCATCAAAAAGTCACTTTAAACATGACGATCAAAGTTACCGGTATACGCGTATTATACCGTAAACCGGACGTTCTAACCCTAACGTCAACACGTTTATTCTTAACTTATTACCACAAGTTGGTGGAACACCACTCCAAGTCCCGTCCGGCTGGCAGTTTATATTGGCAGTCCCAAACAGCTGAAACCCGTCCATACAGGTGTACCTGACTGTCTGTCCTGATATAAAGTTACTGTTGTTATCCCTGATCCCATTGGCTGGCACACCAGGGTCCCAGCATTGACCTGCAAAAATATATATTACATATATATTACAAACTATGAAAGTTTAACTAAAATGAGGTGGCTCTTTCTTTCTGCGATTTCAAGAATTCACTACTTTGTAATCAATATGATGTATTGTTTGTGTGATAATTTAGCAGGGAAATTATGTTAATAGCACTTAAAAATACAATTTCAGTCATACGAGTGCGAATGTAAGTAACATGCAAATGATATGCGTGACGCTCTAGTGATGAGTCCCGGCCTACAATCATGGCGTCGCCTGTAGATTTAGACGTGGGTACCTCGGCCCGTAATACTGTGTAGCTAGCATGACCCTAGCATGTCCAAGTCACGAGATAACAAAATCGGAAGTTCCATAACAATCTGCAGCACCATAACAAACCGCTAGAAGGTCCAAAATCTAATGGTTTCGGACCCCCCCCCCCCACACACAAACAAAAACAGATCAAAAACAACACCTCCCATGTTTCAAAAAGGTAAAAATTGAAAACCTAGCATGTCCAGGGCAAAAGATGCAAAACCCGAAGGAACAAAGTACCGTCGCCAGGGGACACAAACGACTTTGACCTTTGTCTTGCCAAAGCCTTCTTAACTTATGCTGACCACAAATATGTGGAAACAATAAAAGACTGGACACAAAATGTACAGCAATGTACGCAACAACTGTCAAAAGTTCTAAAATGGCAAGCGCAAACGTCAACATGTTGAGAAGCTTACCTGATAGAGAGACTTGACAGATGAACTTGTCGTCTCTAGTACACGATCCATCGTTCCATGTGTTTGGTTTGTAGGAATGGCTTCCGGAACAGTACTCGGCACAGTCCTCGTTACCTGAGTTGTTGGGTTCGCCTGGAAACCAAGCTCTGAAGTCGCCGAGAGGAACGTTATCGTCCCACATCCAAACTCCCTCCTGGTTGACATCAGTCAGTCCAAAACGGAACCAAGCGTTGATGTCGACGGCATTTTTCAGATCGATGAGGAAGTTGTTGGTTGCGTTGTCGCGGGGTATGGCAAGGACTCCCCCGTCTGAAGAACACCTACTGACTGCACCGTTGTAGGTTGCCGTGTCGTTGAAGGCCTTGTAGCACAGGCGATTAGGCTGATGGTAAACGTACCCGTCCGGACAACCTATTTCAGAACGAATAAGGTTATTATTTCAACTGCCTGCACTTGTGGTTAATGCAGTCTGTAGACAATCGCCATTTTGACCCAAGATCGAAGCAGTGAATAAGATAATTTTTGACGAAATGATTGCACCACATCATGCTATAGGGTCATGCTTAACATCAAACACCTAGACCATGTGAGCAACGCCTGGATCTACAAGTTGACCAACACTCGACCCTGGCCTTTATCACCATGGTAAGTCAGCGTCAACTTCGATTCCTGGGGCATGTACTTAGAATGCCTTTGTGGGACCATGCCGGACATATGAACTGTATGTACCGACGCACGACAAAAGTGTTACGAATAGATAAGGTTGTCGTGAGCATTTGGCCTGGGTTTAATTTCAGCCGGTAGAAATGACAAATCCCCGCTCATTTTCCGAATTTCTTGACCGAACTCATTGTTTACTATATGTACGTTATACGCTAGCTACGCTCGCATGAAAAAATACGCAATATACTGACTTCATTCGTACAAAACCTGTGTAGGGACGTGAAAATAACAGGTTGACATCCTTGTGGTTAAACGTTTAGCGAAATTTTGGCGGTTCCGGAAATTTCACGATCGCAAGTCGACATTGACCTTAGATATCGTCGAACGTGAATCGTCAAGTGGGGGAGGGGGGCGCTCTTGCGTAACTTCTGTTCTTTCAAAGATTATCGATATCCTCTACTTTCTCCGGTAATATTTCAGTTTAACTGGATAAACTTCCACAGAAACGTAAAAATGTTGAACTGAGATTCTAGCGGGACGAACTTTACCGCAAAAGTGACGGCTGCGAGTAGTAGAGATTTAACGCGGATAGGTCATCAAAAAGTCACTTTAAACATGACGATCAAAGCTACCGGTATACGCGTATAATACCGTAAACCGGAAGTTCTAACTCTAACGTCAACACTTTTATTCTTTACTTCTTACCTCCACAAGTTGGTGGAACACCACTCCAAGTCCCGTCCGGCTGGCAGGTTATATTGGCAGTCCCCAGCAGCAGCCAATACCCGTCCATACAGGTGTACCTGACTGTCTGTCCTGATGTAAAGTTACTGTTGTTATCCCTGATGCCATTGGCTGGCACACCAGGGTCCCAGCATTGACCTGCAAAAATATATATTACATATATATATTACAAACTATGAAAGTTTAACTAAAATGAGGTGGCTCTTTCTTTCTGCGATTTCAAGAATTCGCTACTTTGTAATCAATATGATGTATTGTTTGTGTGATAATTCAGCAGGGAAATTATGTTAATAGCACTTCAAAAATACAATTTCAGTCATACAAGTGCGAATGCAAGTAACATACAAATGATATGCGTGACGCTATGGGGATGAGTCCCGGACTACAATCATGGCGTCGCCTATAGATTTAGACTTGGGTACCTCAGCCCATAAACTTCAACTCCGCGGGAAATACTGTGTAGCTAGCATGACCCTAGGCCTAGCACGTCCAGGTCACGAGATAACAAAATAGGAAGTTCCATAACAATCTGCAGCACCATAACAAGCCGCTAGAAGGTCCAAAATCTAATGGTTTCGGACCCCCCCCACACACACACAAACAAAAACAGGTCAAAAACAACACCTCCCATGTTTCAAAAAGGTAAAAATTGAAAACCTAGCATGTCCAGGGCAAAAGATGCAAAACCCGAAGGAACAAAGTACCGTCGCCAGGGGACACAAACGACTTTGACCTTTGTCTTGCCAAAGCCTTCTTAACTTATGCTGACCACAAATATGTGGAAACAATAAAAGACTGGACACAAAATGTACAGCAATGTACGCAACAACTGTCAAAAGTTCTAAAATGGCAAGCGCAAACGTCAACATGTTGAAGCTTACCTGATAGAGAGACTTGACAGATGAACTTCCTGTCGTCCCTAGAACACGGTCCATCGTTCCATGTGTTACTGTAGGAATGGCTTTCGGAAAAGTACTCTGCACAGTCCTCGTTACCTGCGTTGTTGGGTTCGCCTGGAAACCAAGCTCTGAAGTCGCCGAGAGGAACGTTATCGTCCCAAATCCAAAGTCCCTCCTGGTGGACATCAGTCAGTCCAAAACGGAAGAAAGCGTTGATGTCGACGGCATTTTTCAGATCGATGAGGAAGTTGTTGGTTGCGTTGTCGCGGGGTATGGCAAGGACTCCCCCGTCTGAAGAACACCTACTGACTGCACCGTTGTAGGTTGCCGTGTCGTTGAAGGCCTTGTAGCACAGGCGATTAGGCTGATGGTAAACGTACCCGTCTGGGCAACCTATTTCAGAACGAATAAGGTTATAATTTCAGAAGTTATTAGGTTATTATTTCAACTGCCTACACTAATATTACAGTCTGTAGGTAATCGCCATTTTTATGGAAGATAAGTTTTGACGGAATGATTGCATTTTACATACATAAAGTATTACCTGGCACACGTGACATATCGACGACACAAAACGTGAAGTAGGGACCTAAACGTAATGTTTTCAACGTACGTAATTTTGACACGGAATCAGAGAACACATAGATGTAACGTATCCGTGCGTTTTGCCATACATAACCTTGGCCTGGCTACGTGACGTATTGACCCAAGAAAACCTGACGTGTAGAACCCAAAACGTGACGTTTTTACATATGTAATTTTCACACGGAAATGCCATACATCTGACGACAGTAACATCTTACCTGTCTGTCCACGACTCTCCAAGATCCACAGAAAACCCAGGACAACGCGGAAAAGACTTCTTACTCCAGCCATTTTCTTCACTTAAATGCCACGTACTTCAAGCTGTGGGGTATCTCTGGTTCATGTCGTTTCCTGTTAGGAACTTTCCCCCACGCAAGAGTGCCGGGGATATCGCTGACTCGTGACTGTGTCCTTTCCTTTAAACAAGGAAATCCGCTGAAGCTATTTTAAAGTCATGAGAAAACCAGGCAGAGGTCGGAATATGGGGGTCGGCCAAATCGGCTCATAGTTTGTATGTGTGATAGGTATGAGGAACTATTTTAACAGCCATACAGTTAAAAACCACAAACTATTTTCTTTATGGGGCTGTTGGATCCCCCTCGGAGACCCTCAAAAATCAAATCAACAGCATTATAAGCAACAGGGAATACTTCAACCAAGGACGTTACCTCCAAGCTTCAACCGAACCCGTAATAATATCTCTAGAAATGTTAATCAAATTTTTGTACCTCCCATACCCGTACGTGGTACGGTGTAAATAAAAGTAGACTAACTAAGGGGCGAGGAGGGGGGGTGGGGGTGCGAGATCTCTGG